AAAGTGGAAATGAAAGCAGACAACAGAACAATGCTAGAGAGCAGGAAAGGAGGTGAAAGGAGACAATTTTAGAGAAGAAAACTTTTCGGTCGCTACCCGAATTCGAACCCGGGACTTTTGAATGAGAGGCCAACACCTTAACCTCTAGGCCACGAGAGCCCCCTCCGGATTCTGAGGACGCTTTTTTAAATGGCTCAAAGAGAAGAATGAATTATCTTATTGATTCAATCAAATCGAGATGGGGCCAGCCAGATTTTCCTCCATGGAGTGGCAAAAGCTACCATTTTGCACAATAAGACCAATTCGACACACGACCTTGGAAAGACGAACACGTTTGATTTTGAAGGTTACCGTCGAATTAGGTCAAATTCAATCGATGTGCATCAAAATGTGGCTGTTTTGCATTATATCCATGAGGGAAATCTTGGTGGCGCTGACCCAACGAAATGGGTTTGACAGGCAGTGTGCCGTCGGAACAGCCGCTATATCACAGACGCCGGGTGCACGTACAGCGGGCGGGCTCACGCTAGACACACGCGTCAGAAGTGGACACGACACGCCCACAGGCAGAGAGGAGAGTCAGGGAATTGTCGGAGTCTATACGTTCTCATACTACGTTCTCTGACTGTCTAGGTCGGGGTGTATATTTGTGTGCGTGTGTGTGTGTGTGTGTGGGGGGGGGTTTTTTGTTTTTTTGGGGGTGGTTTTGGTGGGGGGGGGGGGGGGGGGGTTAGAAGTTGAAGGGGTCTTTGTAGAGCGACGAGTGTCTGGGACATGTGGTCGTCAGAGCAGTTCAACAGATGGGTCACTTATATACCATGTGTGTCTGTTTGTGTTTCCATGAACACGTTTGGACATGCGCCTGAACATACATAAAGGCAGACCTGTTCAGACTAAGATTCTCTACACGATCTTTGGTTCGTGTAACGATGGTTTCTATAAATAGTAGTGATACTGTTTAAGAGGACCACCTGTCCAAGTCAATCATTTTTCTCCTCGAAAAAGGATGGCAGTCTTAGACAAACCCGACTGTTTCATACATTTTTAATCCCGCGTCTGTCGTTCTGTTCCACACACGGGTGCACCAATCCAATGAAATCACGCAAGCTTTGATCCGAAGAATGCTCCAGGAGAATACAACACACTGAGTTGAACATTCAAAGCCCAATGCAAGCATTTCAAATTGATCTACTTACAATTGAGCATGCTCTAACGGCCGGCCACATGTCCAACTGTACATAAACAAACGTTCTTAAAAAAAGGCGGAAATAATGCTCAGTGACCATAGCCACCCACTGACATCGAATGTTCTTTTCCAATGCGATGGCCTGGTTACGTACATGAGTAGATTTTCTGTTAGAATGCGTGTGCGTAAGTGGGAGTGAGTGTGTGTGTGTGTGTGTGTGTGTGTGTGTGTGTGTGTGTGTGTGTGTGTGTGTGTGTGTGTGTGTGTGTGTGTGTGTGTGTGTGTGTGTGTGTGAGAGAGAGAGAGAGAGAGAGAGTGAGTGAGTGTGCGTGTGCGTTTGTGTGTGTGTGTGTGTGAGAGAGAGTGAGAGAGTGAGAGAGAGAGAGAGAGAGAGAGTCTGTTTGTTTGTTTGTTTGTTTGTTTGTTTGTTTGTTTGTTTGTTTGTTTGGTATATTTTTGTGGGGGGGGGAGGTAGGAGAGTGTACGCTATAGATTTAAGTTTGATAGAAAAAAGAAGCAAACCACACTAGAGTACCCATCAACCACAGACGAAACAATAACAAGATACTTTTGAGAAAGGACTTCGCCAAAACTTTACCTGAACCATTCAACACGGACACGAGTACGTCGCTTTTTTCGGGGCTCTCTTGCTTCATTATCTCAGGCATCCGATCTGGAGAAACAAAAGAAAGTAATGTGTAAGGAGTGACGGGTGTTGAGTACGTTGGCTTCGGGTCTGTTTGCTCGTTTGGCTACTTGTGGGTTTTTTGTCTCGTTGTTGTTCTTAGTGGGCTTGATGTTTGTTCATATTTTCGGGGGTAGGGGAGGGGGTGGTTTGGTGGAGGAAGGGGGAGGGGGGTTGTGGGGGGGAGGGGGGTAGAGGTCCGTTTTCTCCGGGTTTGTTTGGGGGTTTGTTTGTTTGTTGCTTTTGTTGTTGTTTTTTGTTGTAATTTAGGTTTTTTCTTTGTGTTTTGTTTTGGTTTGTTCGTTTTTTTATGGGGTGGGTTTTTTTTAGAGGGGGTGGGAAACACTGAAGCTAAGCAGTATAGGTAAGACAGGGTTTCACCAACAGAGGGATAATAAACGAGTCGACCATACCATAGTGACACCGTCCAATCACTCGATGACCGCAGATCAATGAAATGCACGGGAGTCATTGTTCAGTGTGAGCCACATCCAAAACGATCTTTTCTCTTTTTTGGTAAATGTTTTACGGCGCTCGCAACTGCATAAGGTCATATGAGCGCGCGGGACACATTAAACTTTTTCAGTTGGTAGGAAATTTTGAATTTTGCCCGGGTGGCGGCCGAAGCCTACTCTTATCGATTTTAGACCACCAAGGGATCTTTAACGTGCGCAACTTGCACACGGGCCCTCCGAAATTTTTCGCCCTTGTCCGAGAAGACTAGGTGTAGATCTTTCGTACCAGAAGATAAGGGGTGTGGCTGAAAGACAGCAGAAAGAAGGAGCAAAGGAGTAGCAGTAGAAAGGTTGCAGAAAGAGTCAGGAGCCCAGAGGAGGGGGCAAAGATGAGGAGGTGGGCGCAGAAAGAGGAGACGAAAGCAGACGACAGAACATAGCTAGAGAGCAGGAAAGGAGGTGAAAGGAGACAATTTTAGAGAAAAAAAATTTCGGTCGCTACCCGGATTCGAACCTGGGACATTTGAATGAGAGGCCAACACCTTAACCTCTAGGCCACGAGCGCCCCCAACGATCTTTAACCTTTCAAGTTTACCGACAGAAAATCCATAGAATCCACAGTGATGAATCGCACTTTGTTAGGAATCGACCTGACAACCGTTCCTCTCGCTAGTCAAACCATCTAACCACGGGGCTACCCACGCCACTACACACGTAATAAGCTGTTACTGAATGACATGGTTAACAACTTTACCCGCTCCATGACACTCACGTCAGAAGCTGTGATGGCCGTTAAAAACCATGGCAAAACACGGTTAGAACATCGACCCAAACGTGTTTATTTCTGAGTAAAAACTTCTACCACAAAAGAGCAACTCGCTTACTTAATCACAAAATGTCAGCAAGAAGCAGTCGTAATCCGCAGACAAAGACCATGTTTGTTGTTTTTCTGGCGTGCAATCTTTGTACGCCTCGTTCAAAACTCCTTTCGAGCGCTGCATCGGGGTATAATTATGTACAAGCGAATAACAATAGCAGATCACAATAAAGCAAGAAAAACATCCCAAGACACCCGCCTCCTGTCGCTAGCCTGAATGTGAGAAAGGTGTAGCTATGTCTTGCGGCCTGTATCAAACAAAAGTGTAGCCACGTCGTTAGCATTGTATTATCTGAGAAAGGAGTAGCTACATTACCATCCTGCATCAAAGCTTTGAGTTTGCGTAAAGAGAAGCGCATCGACACAATAAAGCTCATATAGTGCAGGAAAGAAAGCGAGACAGATAGAAACAACAGAAGGAAAGAAAAGAAGTAGGACCCACCAGTGGCGTCCTCGCTCCACCCACCTGCTTCAAAGAAATGTTTAGCCACATTATTCACACACACACACACACACACACACACACACACACACACACACACACACACACACACACACACACACACACACACACACACACACACACACACATACAAACACACAAACACACACACACACATAGATATGTCGTGTGTATTTAAAATATATACTTATACATGTATTATATATATACATGTATATGTATACAGATTATAATATATATATATATACATGTATATATAACATATATTAATATATTATATATATTATATAATAATATAGAGAACTATATATCTGTAGAACCAAGGTGTGAGTTATAAAGTGGTAAGCGATACGCTACAAATAAAGAAGGGCCAAATCCAAAAATGCCAAATCCAAAAATGCCAAATCCGAACGCCTCATGACCAATGATAGTACATAACAAGATGGGCCACTTCTCTCTTTGAGCCATTTAAAAAAGTGTCCTCAAAATTTGGTGGCGCCCTCTTCACAAAAGCGCACTTTTGCGAACAGAGTTACCCTACTTGAGTTTTAAAAAATGAAAGTGAAACTAGCAAGTTTTGGGATAAATTACGGAAGAAAACGTTTTTAAAATGGTTACGCTGACAAAAAACCTCTTCCGGAGAAAAGGGTGATGGTTTTCTTCGATTAATTTGACTTTAGAATGAAAGGCGAGAGGTCATTAAAATAAAAAACCCTAAAACTCCGCACTGAACGTACCCGAACTGCTGATGAACAGCAGTCGATCTGCGCACGCAAGGACGTGTTATTCCTATTCTTCTTCTGGAAAAACGAAAGAGAGCTTCAAAACAGACTGCAGCGCCATCTGAAGCAAAGAGCATACTTCCTGCGGACACTTTTTTGGCTGAGTGGCCCATCTTGTTATTCACTATCTTTGTCATGACACGGATTCAGCGAATACGAAATCCGGATTAGGATTAAAACCAACACAACAACCAATCACATTCAAGGAAACTTTCCCGTAGCTCTCAATGCAGCACCAGGTCAAATGCGGGGTTAATTTGTGTCAATTCGTTCTACCGCCATTGATACAAATCGGATCTCAGTTCAAAGTGACGTCCAGGCCTGGAATTCCGGCGAAAGCAACGGGCTTAGCCGGAGTGAGAAACATAGGTGTCGTTCAGAGCAAAACTGAAAGGGGGAAAAGGGGGGGGGGGGGGAGGGGAGGGGGGGGGCTACCAGTATTTGAAAAAACCCAATCAACTCGTGTTGAAAATTTTCAAATTCGATCTTTCAGGCCCATTCTTCGAAAGTCGTGTTGAATTTTCAAATTGAATTGCGGAATTGGAATTTCGAAAGCCAACTTAGTTTCATGAATTGCGAATTGAATTAGTTTGCTAAAACCAAAGTAAGAGGGGAACACGGAAGAGAGAGAGAGAGATAGAAAGAGAGAGAGAGAGAGAGAGAGAGAGAGAGAGAGAGAGAGAGAGAGAGAGAGAGAGAGAGAGAGAGAGGGAGGGGGGGGGGACTGAAATGAGTTATGTTGTTACACCCCGACAGACAGACAAAGATACTCGTAAAAAAGAAAACAAAAAAGCTTCTCCATCAACTTGACAATTGAACTCACTTTCTCTGCGTACGGCAAAGACCCTAACCACCCCACCACAGACGCCGGTGCGAGCACAATGAGAGAACTGCCAGCGTGGAGTATTGTCAGTGAACAAAAGAAATGTCAACACTCACGCTCGATCTCGTAAATGCCAAGAAGCAAGAGCGCGGGCACAAAGCAGGTGATAATGCAAATTGAAAATAAGTAAGCACGAACTCTTTATTATACAGGAAGGCACAAGAGATGGGAGTACGGCCGGTTAATGGTGGGCACGGCGAAACAAAAGAAGAAGAAAAAAAAAACTGCAATCAATGAGCATACAGAAGCGAGTTCCTACCTCTCGTTTAGTTTGTTTTAGTAAGAGTTTCACGCTGCCTGCAGCACAAATAGGTTATACAAGTGTCGATCATTAGAGGTGTTACTCTAGAGAGTATCTCGTTTTCCTAAGAGTTTTACGCTGCCTGCAGCACAAATAGGTTATACAAGTGTCGATCATTAGAGGTGTTACTCTAGAGAGTATCTCGTTTTCCTGAGAGTTTTACGTTGCCTGCAGCACAAATAGGTTATACAAGTGTCGATCATTAGATGTGTTACTCTAGAGAGTATCTCGTTTTCCTAAGAGTTTTACGCTGCCTGCAGCACAAATAGGTTATACAAGTGTCGATCATTAGAGGTGTTACTCTAGAGAGTATCTCGTTTTCCTAAGAGTTTTACGTTGCCTGCAGCACAAACAGGTTATACAAGTGCCGATCATTAGAGGTGTTACTCTAGAGAGTATCTCGTTTTCCTAAGAGTTTTACGTTGCCTGCAGCACAAATAGGTTATACAAGTGCCGATCATTAGAGGTGTTACTCTAGAGAGTATCTCGTTTTCCTAAGAGTTTTACGCTGCCTGCAGCACAAATAGGTTATACAAGTGTCGATCATTAGAGGTGTTACTCTAGAGAGTATCTCGTTTTCCTAAGAGTTTTACGCTGCCTGCAGCACAAATAGGTTATACAAGTGTCGATCATTAGAGGTGTTACTCTAGAGAGTATCTCGTTTTCCTAAGAGTTTTACGCTGCCTGCAGCACAAATAGGTTATACAAGTGTCGATCATTAGAGGTGTTACTCTAGAGAGTATCTCGTTTTCCTGAGAGTTTTACGGCGTCTGCAACACAATAAGGTCATATAAGTGACGGAGATTTGAGGTGTAACAAGGGAGCAACAAACACAAAAAGAAGGAGGAGAGATAACGATGATAGGTGTTTGACAGGAAAGGAGGAAACCACACCAGAGCACCCGACAACCACCCACCAAAATAACTATTTAGTGCTACGACGAAAACAAACAGAAAAAAGGAACAGAGAGAGAGAGAATTATAATGTGTTTTACGCCCCTAGCGACACAATTTAGATCATTTAGGACACGGGCGGGGAGTGACATAGTACCCTAACAGGCAACCAAAAATAGCCTACTTGATAATACAAAGACTTCCCCACCCGGCAATTGAACTAATGTCTTTTACAAGCCATGGTCAGGGGCCTGACCGTTACACTACAGACCGCGGAAGATTAGAGAGAGAAAGAGAGAGAGAGAAAAGAAATGCCCTACACCCCCCCTTC